AGTACTCCGCCTCTTGCGGAGGAGTTATAGTTCCCAGGCTGGAGAGTCTCCTTCCCTCTCTCTCGCTCTTGTCTCTCTCACCGCGCCGCAGTTTGCTCTGTCTCTCCTCGGCTCTGAGTCCTGGAGGCTGTGCTAAAGTGGAGAGGAGTTTCTTGAATGCTGGTTGCTGAAGCTTCTTCCAATGCAAGTTTCTCGCCGCCTCCCAGGCAAGTCTGGCTTTTTTTTCCTTCCCCTGAAGCAGTTGATTCCAGTTCACGAGCGCTCTCAGGAGCTCAGGAAAGCAACATAGTCTCAATCACTTAGTCCCTCTCCTACAATGCAAAGCAGAAAAGATTCTGGCTCCAGGACTCTCTGTGGGCGGAATCGGCACTAAGGAGTTTGTGCAATTATTTTGTTGCAAGGTAGGAAGCCAAAAAGCCTTCATGCAACAGACTGGCATGAATAAATGTATGTTTCCCCCTCCCTTCTGCAAGAAGGGAGCTGGTAATGGCAGAGTTCCTCCAATGCAGACTCTTAAAGAGCGTGCAAGAACTAGAGACCCGGGAACGACACAGGCCTCTTCCCCTCACACACTGTTTCTCTTGCTGCAGCTTAGAGCAGACCCTAATTCCGCCTCGCGCCTCTTTATCCTTTCCCAGTCTTGGCCGCGGCCAATCAGCCGCTGTAACCAACGCTTCCTCGTGCCAAGCCCCTCCCCCGGGCTTCCCATTGGCTTGGAACCCGATGCAATAATAATCTCCGCGTGCAATGAGAAGCTCCAAATCTGACCTCATTCCAATTTACAGAGCAAACTTTTTAAAAGGGCTAGAAGTACAGCTGAGATTTCTGCTGCCTTCTTTCCTTTTGCTGTGCGCGCGTGTGTGTGCGCGCGCGCGTGTGTGGTGTGTGAAGAGGATGTTAATGCATGAAATTATTAAGGGGAGAGACGGAAATGTATTCTAACCATTATGTTAGATAACAAGAGGCTTGCGGGGGGAGTGAAATAGTGTAAATGGAGGCTTTCTGCTTAAAAGCCAAGTGATTATTTTTATTAGTTCTTTTCAGTATTGGAATAAAGAATCAGCCTTCTAGTGTAAAATCTGTTCGTTGGCTCCTTCACGAAGCCAAGGACGTAAAAGGGGGAGGGAAAGCCACGGCAATAAATCAATGGATATTGAAAACCATTAAGAAAGTGGTACCTAGACACCTGTCATCACAGTTATTTTAACAACTCTAGGTACAGCGCAGATGTTGATGTATTGTGTAAATCCCTTTAGAGCAATTTTGGTGCTGTTCGTGGAAGTCAGAGAAGAGGAATTTTTGCAAGAATTACTTGCTCTCTTAACCAAACAGGGGTTAACCATGGTTATTTAATGATTTAACCCCCCTCTATGAATCCGGGATAGCCCAAACAGAGGAGCTTTCCACTGGAACACATTAGGCAGTGTTCCATGGTTAACTCGATGGAATAATTTCCATCGGACTCTGAGTAAAATGATAGTGCTGAGTAAAGAATGGGAATCGATTGTACTTTCTAAATATTTGTTTTCCACATTTTCAAAACTAAAGATCGCTTCGTTCTGCATCCTCATCCCCCCAAACTCTCCTGCTCCTTATCCTTTATAAATATTTTCTCCTATTTATTCCACCTGTATATTTGTTACTTTGATCAAATGGAACCAAAAGGCCAAGGTGAAGAGAAAGTGTAGAAGGCAGTGGTAACTGGTAGCAAAAGAGAATGGAACTTCTGGATTTATATTAGACCTGGAGGCTAGTCCTTCTTACTGATCTTGTAAACTTGGGATGTGACAGAGTCTCAGTTTTCTTCGTCTGTGATGTGGGAACAACTACTTTGACAGTTGTTCTGAGGGTTCAGTGAGTTTGATTCATAGCAAGTTCTCAGTGAATGCTATTATCCTTCCCGTGATCATTTGAATTCCAAAGACAGTCCCTTTAGTAGAAGCAGCCTGTTATTCAAGAGGCTAAAATCAAGGATGGCCACTGATGTGAAAAAATAATCACAGGTCATGGATGTGAACCATCCAGGGACCATAGTGGGAACCCTGTCTCCCCAATGATATGAAAAGGAAGGAACTTCATGAAAAGTGTTGTGAAGAATGTGGCAAAGAAAAGGTACCTAGGTAGTCAGAACACACGTTAATTTTACCAGAAAAATTACCTTTGTTCTAAGATGTGAAAATTAAAATTCTAGCAAAAATTGGTCTTCCTTCACACCATAATAGTAAACAGGCCAGTGACAGATGGCCTACAGGCCAGTGATAGGTGGTTAGGTAGGGCTAACCCAACTTAATTAAGTCAGCTTTTGATTCAGATCAAACTAGTGCTAGGCAGCAGATTTCTATTTATCTTGTCAAACTTTTAAAGTATGTAGGCTGGCAAGAGGCCCAGGTTGTCAGATTTGGAATTGTACTGGAAAGAACACCCTTTGGAGACATCTGACTGGATCTCTAAGGATCAACCACAAGCAAGAATGTTTTTGTGGGTAAAAGCAAATAATTCTTAACCATTAGCTACCCAAGTTATATACTTTTTCTTTTAGAAGGAGGAACAAGTCTTAAAAATAAACAAACAAATAAAAGCCCACAGGCACCTCATTTGCATATAGCAAAGTCGGGTGTGTTAGCCTACATTTCATTTTCTTTGCTGTGCGCACCAGACGACACCCCTTGGTGTTGTCAATCTGACATCAAAATTACTCTAAGAAGTCTATTATTTATAAAATCAATATTTTCACCAGAATAAAAAAAGAATCAATACTTTATTTTGGGATTTGTATCAGCTAATGATTAGAGGGTGTAGCTAGTTTGTCATAATTCAGTCAAGGTGGGTATAAATATAATTGATTATACTTCCAAAATCAATTATGGTTCTACCAGTGAATATGATCAGGGAAAAGTGGAAGTTAACCAAAGCAGTCATAGTAATTTTGTTTATGTTTAAAGCACACAGATTTTTTTAAAGTGTGTACTAAAAAACAATAGGCACTGCCCTATTTCTATGGTTAGATGTGTTTTCTATATCGGTGTCTTTAAGACATACCATTGTTACATGCTGTTAAGGGAGAGCAACTGCCAGTGAAACTGACATCCCCAGGGTTGTAAGACATCTAAGATATTAAAAATGAAAAGGACAAATTTTTCTTTGAATTGAAGAAATACAGTATTAGTAATTTCCATTGACTTTATAAGATTATTGTAGTATATATGAATGCTTAGGCTTCTGAAGCAGGTTTGTTCTTATGTGTTAATAGTTCTGTTAAAATGTAAGAAAACATGTGACACATGGCCCTTTATTAAAGTCATCTTTCTCACCGAGTATGTGCACACTGGAATGTGTTGGGCCTCTGAATACCAAATAATGAGGAAAGATTTCTGTGTTCTCATTACCTAACTTAACATGTTTTGTAACCAGTTTTCCATTACTGACATTTTTTTCCGAAATACCAGATATTTGGTGGCCCCTACTAAATCAGTACTCAGTGTTCCCTCTGCTGGCTTTGCAGCACATGAAGTAATTCTTAATGCTACTCTTTAAGCCATATTAACAGTAAACCAAGATAATTTCGCACAAAAAAAATCCTGTTTTAGAATAACAGACTAATTGTCTTTATTAGCAATGATGCTAGACATTTCAATTTTGAATCAAGGTAAATATTTTATTTATTTTCCATTAAATAATGGAACTCTCTTTGGGATGTAATGTAATATCTGCTAGTTCATTTCTTTTCTTCTGCTCTCACACACCTGCACAGCATAAAATCTCACATCCATAAAATGGTATGGGGTATAGATGGAAATAAGATTCTGTCCTACTGCTTAATATATTCCTATAGCATAGCAGCCAAAAAAAAAAAAACCTGAAGGGAAATTAGTTTAACAAATCTCTTGGATTTGCACTGATTTGCAAGATTTTGCTTTGCCTTGGTTGTAGAAACTGACTGTAGGAGCTGGTCTGACCTGACAAGTATTCAGTTCAAAGAAAATAGAGAGAGAGAAAAGAAAAACCTTGTCTTTGTAACTTTAGCAGGCAGGTACCAAGCCTGAGAAATTTGATGTCATTGGCCTTTGCCAAGTGAAAGGCCACAGCCTTTATGGAAGTTCCACACTTTATGGAAAAGAACCCTCCATCTGAAGCTGATTTACTTGTCAGTCAAGTAGACAAACATAACTTGCACTTCATCTTTTTGGGCTGATGAAGTTTCATTGGAACGGATTTCGGAGGGGGGCGGTTAGTATTGAAAAACAATGTATGGAATAATTCTTTTTTGCAAAGTATCAAAATAGGATCTGGGGTAAAATGAAGTCCATGAGTTATTTTAGAATAAACTAATAGATAAGAACCTTGTATTTATAATAATTTTTACGATTTTCTCTCCCCTTCTAATCAGTGATTAGCACCTCTTAGGGTTTATGTATGCACTTCATACCAGCGCCAGCTCAATTTTCCGTTCCTTTCAATTTTCTCATGAGAACAAACAGAAAATGAGTGTTTCCACGGGGCCACGTAGATTTGAAGCATGAATACGAGCTTCTGCCCCATTTCACGACGCAGAAGCAAGGCACACCCACCGGGAGCCTGGGTTCGCTCCGCCGCCAGCAGGCTCCCCGTCCGAGGAGAAGCGGCCGCCAGGTGGCAGCGCTGAGCCTCCCTGCGCTCGCGAGGAGACGTGGTAAAACGTGGGGACGGTCAGACTTACTTCTTTTCCCCTATCCTTTTTTCCCGAACCTCTATCATCCTCTACTAGTCTACCTTCTTTAGGTAGCGGTTTAAACGATCAGCGGTTAATAGGGTGTGTCGGTGAATTGTGATTTTTTTTTAAATCATTAATCAAGTTTTAGGGCAGCGAACCGCCGTCTCCCGTTCACTTGTCAGAATCTTCCAGAGACTGGGGAAGCCAAGGCTAGCTCCCGTTTGGATCTAGTAAGTCAGCCCGGGAGATTATCAGTTACCATGTCCGTATCTTGCTGAAGCCGGAACGAGTTAGAACGCCCTCCAAGAGCCGCTGCAGAGGCGCCACGCAAAGGCCACCCCTCCTCCTGAAAAGATGGTTTCCCTGGGCCAGACGCCTCGCGGAGCGCAGCGACTCGGCGGCGCAGGCTCGGCGCTCTTCCTGCCCTGAGCGCGGCGAGGACTCGGTGGGGATTAATGGTGCCCTGCCTCGTTCCGCCGCCGCGGCTGAGCCTTACCTTTCGATTTCACTTACAGGGAGGAAATAAATTGGAATCGACTCAGGCAGTGCTTTTTGGAAGAAAGCCTTTCGTACTGTAAACATGTTTCAGGCGATCCTGTCAGCAGCACTTTAACACCCATCTTCCGTTTAGGTTTATGACAGGGGAAGAAGCTCAAGATACACAGAACACAACACACACACACACACACACACAGGTCCCCGCGCCCTCGCCAGCTCCTAGCCCTTCTTTGAAGTTGCAACTGGCCGCCGCTAGCCGGGGGTGGGTGGGGGTGGGGGAGTCGTTTCCCGGGCGGTCGGCTCCACCATACCCCATCCCCACCCCCTCGGCCACGGTGCCCAGTTCCGCTCCTGACCGGAACTGACAGCCACTCGGCCCCCTTGTCTCCCGCGCGCCCACCGCCTTCGCTCTGGACTCTTAAGTGCTCACTGCGCGCTGTGCGTCTGGAACCCACGCTCCGGCTGGCATGAGACATTCGTGCATGGGCTGGGCACCCCCTCCCTGGTTCCACTGAGCGTGCAGCTGCCTGATCTCTTGCAGGAAGGCAGAGCAGGGAAAGGAAAAAGCCACCCGGAGAAGGGAGGTTGACAATTGGTTGCACCCGAATCTTCAAGCGTCCCCTCCCCAGGGACTTAGGAGGAGCTGGCTGGCCTGAGTGCCCTTCCTCCTACGGGAAAGGCAGGAGGAGAGGGAAGTCGCCGAATCCCCGAGGGCCATGGAGGCGCCCCGGGTGCCAGGGCCCATCGGTATGGGCGCACCGACGCCCCCAGTGACTCAGCCCCCAGGTCTCAGGTCTAGGAGAAGGGGTCTTCTGGCAGGTAAATTACTGGTAAGGGCTGCGCCCCAGGCGCAGTTACGTGGAAGCACAACCTTGTGGAGGGGTACGGCTCGCTTTGTCCCCTCTGGATTCCGTGTCTCTGCCTTTCTGCAGGCCACCGCGGCAGCCAGCGTCCTGGAGGGGCTGCCTACCCCTCCGCGCGGCGCCCCAAACCATCCCAGTGACCCCAGCACGCGGTGTGGATGAGAGCACATCCCGCGGGATCCCCAGCCGCAGTTCAACAGCCAAGTAGAAGCAATTACAGTTGGAGCCCCGTGGGGGAAAGCGGCTGATTTCACTTATGGAAAAACGCTTAAACAAGAGCAAACCTAAGCCAGCGTTAGCAAACTAGCTGACCTACAATTGGAGGTTGTGCGAGGGCGGACTGGGGCGGACGCGTCTGCCAGGGAGGGAAACCCGCTGGGGAGTGGGCAGAGGGAAGCGAATCAAAATGTCAGATAAGAGAAAGAGAGGAAGAGGGGAGGAGGAGGAAGAGAGGCGCTTGATTGCAGAGAGGGAGAATGGGAAGGCTCGGAGACTGCACGGGCTGCCAGGTGACGCGGGTCAGACGGGAAGAGAGGCGGGCGCTTAGTGGGCAGCGGGCGCAGGACGCGCGGGCTCCGCCAGGCACCAGATCTCCTCGCTCCCAGCCCTCCCCTCCCCGGATCCCGCCTCTGCCCGACGTCACGTGTGGCGCAGACGGCTGCTCTGGGGATAGGAGGGGTGGGGTGGGGCAGGGACCAAAGAACTCCGCGCCCCAGACCGCGCCGGGCGTGCTGCACACCTGGCATCCGGGACGCGCCATCTGCTCTGAGCTCACCGCCTCTCGGGCCAGGGGTGTGGGCTTGGAGAGATACGACAATCCTGCCTGGGAAGAGGATGCATTCGAGTCAACTGAAGCAATGAAGCCAGTCAATCAATGCTTATGGTGCTCCTACTGTGTGCCGAGCGTCCCCTCCAGCTGCTGGGCTTGGGAACTGCACCATCTGTTCTGTTGTGTATATTGTGTAATAAATTCACAATTCGAACGATAATTTATAAGATAATTCGCTATGCCAAGGAGGGTGGTTGAGGCAGTTTGAGGGTCTGGAGAGGTGTTGCGTCTGGCAGAGTAAGGTATGAAAGGTTGGTGATTTTCTTCTGCTTCCCGAAGTCTGAGTGACCCTTCCTTGTCCTACCCCCCCCCAGCCCCGTGCTTCCTGTCCCCCATTCTCACAACACAGATAGAAATTAACAACAATAATTTAAAAATAATAATTTAGTGGTACTTAATCTGGGCTAGAATGGCTGGTGAGTAACTGAAACCTAGTTCCTGAACACTCAAAACTTGACTCATTAATTTCATAAATATGAGACTCAGAACACTGCCTTGTTGGAACAAGTATTTTGTAATGTAACTTTACCATTCTGAGAGAAAATTCGTCGACCATAAAACTGTATTTTTTTAAATCAACATAATGCTCAAGCCAAAATATAAAGGAAAACTAGGCACACAGTTTATAATACAATAATATACATTACAAATGTGCAATGCCCAGGCTATATTTCACTAGAACATCCCCAAATTTCTAAAATTCTCCCCAGGGAGTACTTCCCAGATGTGAGTTGCAAACTAAGAGTGCCAGGCAAGAAATGGGAATGCTATTGATATGCCAAAGTCTTAAACTCACAGTGGATGTGATTATTCCGATAAATCTGTCTTCAGATATTTATGCCTTTGTGTTCTCTCCCCCATTGACTTTGGATTTGGTCACGTGGATTGCTTTAGCCAATATGGCATTAGCAAACATGACCCAAGAGGAGGCTTGATAAGTGCCTGCACGTTTATTGGGGTTTGTCCACTTGAAACCTTAAAGGCATCGTGTTTTGAAGAAGCTAATCTGTCTTACTGAAGGATGAAAGGCCCTATGGGGAGAACGTGATGCCCTGCCAGCTCTAGTGTCCCATGCATGTGACTGAGGCTATCTTGGACTTCAGTAGGATTGTCAGATGACTTCAGCCACATGAGTGATTCCCAGATGAGTCCAGCAGAAGAATCCCTAGATTGACAACCCACAGAATTATGAGAACAGTAAATTGTTGTTTTAAATCACTGTGTTTTGGGTGGCTTGTTATGCAGTAAGAGAAGACAGAATAGTGTTAATTACAATACCATGGGATAAATGCTAAAGTTCAAATCCACCCAACAAGGCAGCTTTTCTTAATGACTCCAGATCTTCATTATGAGTTCAGGCAATATATTCATCAATACCTATAGTGGATATAGGGGTTAGCTGGACTTGAATAACCCAGGCAGCTCATCTACTCTTGTTGCAAGTGGTGCTCCTTTGCCATTTCCCAGATTTTCCTGAAATTCTTTCTCCTCTCAGGAGACCTGCTGCTCCCTGGCACTGCTGTTTGTCACCTCTGTCACTCCTTCTGCCATCTGTGGCCTTTCCTGGCTAGCTCCTTTCTCTCCACTACTTTTTTTTTCTTTTTCCTTCTTCCTAGTCTCACTTCTCATTTTCTGCTATTGTTTCAACATTTATTCACTTATGATCAGTAAACAGACCAACTATACTATGCCTTCAGTTATTTGATTCTTTAGCTTATCTTGGCTTTTCGGTCACTGGTTCTGCTTGCAAATTTCTTTCAGTCAATTGTTGGGGGTGGGATGAGTATCAACTCTCTAGACGCTGGGAAAGTGTAGTGGTCACATACAGGGTATAATTCTAATGCCACGGGATGGTGTACTAGTCAGGGTTCTCCAGAGAAACAGAACTAACAGCAGATGTATATACAGAGAAGGGGCCAAGTATATAATAAATATGGCTGACAATTCCAAGATTTGCTGTCAGTGAGCAGGAGACCCAGGAAAGCCAAAGGTGTGGTTTTAGTCCAAAGGCCAGGAGGCTTGAAATCCAAGAAGAGTTTATGTTTCATTTAGAATCTTAAGGCAGGAAAAAACAAAACCAAACCAAACAAAAACAATGTACCAATGTACATGCAGTCAGGCAGGGGGAATTCTCTCTTACTTGAGGGGGGGTCATTCTTTTTGTTCTATTCAAGCCTTTGATAGGATGAAGCCCACCCACATTAGAGAAAACCTTCACAGAAACACTGGGAACAATGTTTGATCTGGGTCCCTCATGGCCTAGTCAAGTTGACACGTAAAATCAACCATCACAGATGTTTACCAACAGCCCTGCCTTAGAGAAACGACTATTCAAGGATGGTCGTTAAGTATAAGTTGAATAAGTAGCCACCCAAGAAGGCACTTTGATGGAAAATGGGGAAGATGTTTATCATCCCTTCTGGTACCTACCACCCTCCCCAATCAACTCACCCCTTTAGGTTATGGTACGTATTTTCTAATTAAAATGCAGATTATCCAAGAAGGTGTTGCATTGAGCTACTAGTAGGCAACAATAGCTTACAGTACAGTTCTTTATAGTAGCTTTTCTAGTAGGTTCAAGTAGGTTTTAACATGGGCAGGAGGGGTTGAGGAGAGAGAAAAAGAGATCACTTTGAGAAGGGAAGGTTTAAAGGTAGAGCTCTCCACTAGTGGGTATGGTATGGTGGATGAGAAAAGGAAAAGCTAAAGGTTAAAATTTGCCTCCCTCTTCAAACATACAGCTTTAATTTCTTGAGATTGGAAAGTCCCTGATGTTAATATGCACAATGGTATTACTAACATTACTTCAATTTTAACGTATGATATAGCTTAGCTCAGAATTGATATACGTTCCCTTTCTTGTATATGCCTCAAGGGTAAAATGACAAAGAAATAAAAAACACTCCAAAGGAAACGCCATACCATGTAATTAAAGGATATTCTTTGCTAATCTTCCTTTAGAAATAATTTTATTATGATAGCCATTGGCTCCAATAGCTAGTAGTCCAAACAACAGTTTCTAGAATATTAGAATTTGGAGGATTAAAAAAAAAGTAGTCAGAGAAGATGCTGTGTTTTTGTGTTAGTTTAGGCATTCCTTACTAGATTTGCCTTTATAAGGATGGACTGTACTGAGATGTGGGACATGTCCTGAAAACTCAATGACTCTACACAGTAAACTTCTTTCTTGATACCAAGTCCACTGTGAGCCTAGCAACTCTCCAGAGTGGCTCCCTTGCCCAGCAGTGGCTTAGGGAAGCAGCTAAGTGGCTCCATACCTAAACATGTGACCTTCGTGGTTGTCATAAAAGGGAGAGTGAAGAGAACTCTTACTCAACCTTAAATGCCTCTTCTTGAAAGGGGCACAAGTCATTTGTGCTCATAGCCCATTGGATACAGCTAGGCACATGGCCCTGCCTGAAGGCTTGAAAATATGACTGTCATCTGTGCCCTAGGAAAAAAGAAAAATGGATATGAGTGAATAATAGAAATCTGCTCCACATTACTTACGGAATTGATATAGCTCAACTAAATTTTCTATAAAGTGAATTTATTTTAAGTAAATCCTATTCTTCTTTCAGCTGCATTTAAAATCAAAACTATATTCTTCCAGGGAAAAAATTTAACCTTGACTAACACTTTAGGATATTATTCTTTGTTTTTTTTAACCACATTAAGATTAAAAAATCATTAAAGACATGAACACTTCTGCTTCTAAGTATGATGTAGTAGTAGCAGGAAGCTATCACAACTAGAAAGATTACAAAAGTCATGTTTAAAAAAAGTACTGGAGAGCTTTTAGAATAATTTAAGACTAGAAGAAATACAGTTTAGAGAAGAGGCTGAGGCTGCTGGTCATTTTCTTGCCTGGGAGCATCTGCTAAGGCTGGGTGTACACTGTCATAGTCAAATAAGGTGAAAACCAATTTTTTTTAATATCCATGTTGATTGCCATGGACAAAGTGGAATTTACAGGATCATCAAATAGCCATTTTCTCCCACGGGATATTTTCTGAGTGCTTGGGCAGTGTAAGAGGCTGAGCCGCAAAGACAAAATCAGTTGCAGAACAAGTCATGCTAGAGGAAGAGGCATGCAAAAAAATTGAAGAGAAATATATACATATATGTGTATATATACACAGAATATACACATTAAGGGTCACGGAGACAGAGACAGACCCACCAGCCTCTCAGTCAAAACTGTAGGGAGGCCATGCCCAAGAAAATGACTGGACTAGAAACACAAAATAAAATCTCTTGAAGTCTCCTGGTACTTCAGAGACAAAGTTTCACTGGAGGGTGGAGTCTGCAATAAACACAGAAGATCTGACCCTCGAGATGTTTGAAGCCACAGATGGACTGAGTCTCACCCAGACTACCACCATTCTTGTCTTGTCACTCAAGCCTCTCACTTTGTCTGCTTAATAAGCAAAGCCACAAACCCTTTCTGAGGGAGAAAGAACAACAGTTTCAACCTCTGTAGTTTTTTTTTTTTAAATCTAATATTCATCATATAATACCAAATTGTAAGATATGCAGAGAAGCAGGAAAAATTTAATTGATCAAGAGAAAAAAATAGACAACAGAAGCAGACCCATAGATCATCCAGATGTTGGAGTTGGCTGCCATGGACTTTAACTACTATAACTATGTTTAATAGAAGAAAATATGGAAAAGGATGAATAGATAAAGTATTTAAACAGGGAACTGGAGTCTTTAAAAAAGGAACAAATGGCCATTTTAGAAATATTAAGTAGACTATCTTAAATTAAGAACTCATTGAATATGTTTTACATAAAACTGGAAAATAAGGATTAGTGAATCCAAAAACAGGTCAATAGAAAATACATGAATGTAAGTACAGGAAAAAAGAAATGGAAAGAATGAACAGAGTGCTAGAGATATGAGGGATACAGACAAATGGTTTAGCATTGAGTTATTAAAGTTTTATAAGGAGAGAAGAGAGAATGAGTCAGAGTTGATGTTTGAAGAGATGATGATGAAATTTTATAAAATTAGTGATAGATATAAATCCAAGAATCTTAGTGAACCTCAAGGAATTTAAAAACAAAACTATTCCTAAGTGCATCTCTTAAAAGCAAGAGAAAGCCAGAGGGAAAAAAAAGACACATTATACTAAAAGAATAAAAAAATAAAAATTACGACTTTTGAACAGGAATTATGGATGTCAAAAGACAATATAATTACATTCTTAAAGTGTTGAAAGATAAATTTGAAACAAACTATCTAGAATTCGATCAAATAAAAAATATCCTTCAAAAATGAAGGTTAAAAAGAAAAAGAAATTAGACAAACAAAAGCTAAGAGATTCTGTTTCCAGCAGACACACACTGTAGGAAGGATTAAAAGAAATTCTTCAGGCTGAAGGAAAATAATTTCAGATAAAAACACAGAAGCACAGGAAGAATGAAAAGCATAAGAAGGGGTAAGTATGTTCATAAATATTAAAGAATATTGACTGTTTAAGCAATTATGATAATTATGTCTTATGGGTTTATATATGGAAGTAAAATATATGGCAACAATAGTGCAGAGTGGAAGGGATGTGAATGGAGTTTCTGCTGTAAATTTCTGGCATTGTTTAAGAAGTAAACTATAATAAGTCAAGGGTGCATATGCAAATTGTTAGTGTAGCCACTAAACCACTAAAAGATTAATACAAATAGATAAAAATAAATAAAAGAAAGAAAAGAGAAGAAAAGAAATTAATGTCTAACATTTAGAAATCTGGAGATTTTGTATAAAACTCCTTTAAAAACTGGTCTGTGCCCCATGCTGGCCACACAGTCCTACTTGGGTAGACCAGCTGGAGCCCGGGAAGCCCTGCTCCCCTTACTGGAGCCTGTGTCCCCAGCTCCTCACTGTGTTCTCTTCACCGCTGAGGCCTTAGCCCCCTCAGCCAGCCTGCCTCGTGCTTGCCCTGTTGGTCTCTTTTCAGAATTTATATAATTCTGAAGTAATTTTATAGTCGTGCCTCTGCAAAGATGAAAAAATGAGAGAGAGACTGAGCAGGGCCTTGTGTTTCAGGAAAAGTGGGAGAAAACATGTTTCTGGGTGGAAGAGAAACTGGGTGTTTAATGTGTAAACAAAAGACGTCCCAAGAATACAATCTGGCCCGCTTCAGTTATTTTTATTACCTGCCCAACTTCTGAGGGTGGTTGTGTTTGCCTCCCCGACTTACATAAACTGTTTGTAAC